CCGTTGTGATGCGTGCAAACTCTGACCAGAATACACGCCTCCGAGGTTTAATATCTATTTAAAGGATTTAGTATAATTCGCAGCGCACTGATCAGAGAAAAAGAATCAAGTCGGTGACATCATGCTGATGTCTGGTGACTGTAACCCAGGGGAATCGCTGCTTTTTTAAATAGATCCATCTCACAGTCTTAGAGTTCAATGTTTGACAGCAGTAACCTTGTGGCCACTGAAAGTAACAGCTACTGCTTCTCTTACACAGATGGTTAAAAGACCGTGTTAAATGCTATATGTAGCATCCATAGTGTTTTTGGTTTGGCTCAATCATGGCGTTCTACAAACAGATTTATTCACCACAGCCTTAAACAGGGTGATAATTCAATAACGTTGTAGAAAAATCAACACACTGTTTGCGTCTTTTCAGCCCTCGGATAGAAACTATCCACAAGAACACGACAGCTACTCTCCCCAAACTGAAACTCTTAATACCAAGCACGATTATAAATTGTTTTCTTCGGTTCCGATGATCTGACTCATACTTATCCGCTGCGTATTTCGCGGTGCTCTTTAAATGGGAGTTCCTTTGTCACAGATGATTCAGTTTGCACCAGCTTCACCGTCGAGCGGATGGCGGTGCGGACTGGGAGGTCTGAAGTTACCATAGTGACACACCAGTCAATCTGGCAGTGACTGAATGGTGACTCACTATTGGCCAGTTTACTCTCTGAACAACACTTGCACGCCTGTTTCCACAAGAGGCTAACTGAATTTTACTTGGTAAATTAAAATTTGTAAAAATGTAACAATAAAACTCAAAATAAGTCAAATATTGCAGAAGGTAATTCACCAAAATACATTTTCACCACAGTAATTGTCTTATGTGGCAGTATGTGATGTTCAGGTAAGATATTTAAATGTTTATAGCTACAGGAACTGGAATCATTCAAAGGTCAGCCTTAAAGGTTTTATTTCAGTTTTTATTTAGCACAATTTAAAACTAAATATCTGCTAACGTAGCATTGCATGGCACTGATATGAACAGTTTCAGTTTTAGTTGTTTTAAGTGGCTAAAGTCAGCTAAAACAGTTAGCATACATCTGATTAGCCATTAAATGTTAGCAACCCTTCCCCACCTGTTGCCACACACTGCTGGACAGCTGGCTGAAAGAAGACTTTTCCCTCGCTTCTATAGGTGAGACTAATTTGTCTGTTTTGAAATATTTCCACAGCATCAGCACAGAAACTACCTGGACATCTACCCATCAATCTGCTTTAAAACTGCACTCAACGTGTCCATTAAACAACTAGCAGCAAGTTTACAACCCGAATACATAGCAAGACTAATAAATGAACCAACAAACCTGTTGCGCCACAATGCTGCACTGAAAAGAACAAACTGACTAAAATTATAAGACTTGTAGTTGAACGGTAAAGCTACACATAGTGGCTGTTTATCCAATTGTTTTGCATGTGCCCATGTATTAAATTATCAACATGTTATGTCGACATATGTTAATCTGTTAACTGACCACGCCTCCTTTGTACCACCAGATAACAGGTTCATCTGAAATCATGTCATGCTTTTCTATTAAAGATATTTGTGCAAATGCTGTGATTCTGTTGTTTTTTATTCAATGTTAATATACAGCGTAGGCCGAATGATGACCAAAGATGCTTCAAAACAAGTTTTAATATTTATGAAACATTTATTCTATATACGAAAACACAATGAAAAAAGGAGATTTTTATATTTGCTGGCATTAGGAACACTAGGAGTTTTATTGAAAGCGTTTGTGGTTTGTTAAACCTTTAAAACACGGGGATTCAACTATTACTAATTAATATTTCTAAAATCCTCTAATTCTAATGAACCTCCTGTTTTCTTGTCTCTTTCTAAAAATAAATTACCATTAACTTTTACTGCTATTTAAAAAAAAAAACCTGCCTTGTCCTTGTACTATCTATATTGGTGACTAACAAGAATGAGGAGCGCTTGACTAAATGTAATACAATCAAGATTTAATTAGCCGTATTTGATAGCAGTTGTGTGTTTCTCCTGTTTTCCATCCTCAAACTGCAGGTCTGAATGTTCTGGCTAGGAGCTTCCAGCCTGCTCCGGCGATGAAGAGTGGGGGAGGGGGGCTTAAAGTCACTTTTGCAGGGGTTTTGTAAACACCGAACTTTCTCTGTAGTCCTTCTAACACCAATATTCTGTAACCTGAGTGCTTCTGGACACTCTGACATTGGCTATTATACCCCGCTGCCTGTGGCATGTACTTTGCCGCGGCTGAGATAGCATGCAGGTCCTCCTCTCACACACCCAGGGGAGATGTGCTTCCACTCAAAACCCTGCTTCTTCTCACAAGCCATTTTTCAGAGCATTTTTAACAAATTATGCTTTTAAAAAGTAATGGAAACGAAATGGGCCATTTCGGAGAGTGGTGGGGATGTGCTCCCAGGGTGCCCTGGTCTAAATGACACCCGTGTTGGCACACCAATTTTACCACTTCAGCCAAGCATGGCTAACAACGTCTGGGTGACAGTTCAGGGTTCTTTCCTAATGTACAAGTCGAGTTTAGCTGTTTATTTTAATGCAGTCTTGCTGAAGATAAAACAGAGGAGAAATCACATACAGTGTTGGGGAAAAAATGGGTTTTTGGGCACTTACAGATAGAAGTGGGCATTTATCATATCGTTTATCACTTATCGTGATAAATTTCTTATCAGGATATGAATTCTGATGTATCGTTGTCCAATAAATTCCAATTAATTTGAGTTTAAAAACCCCAAAACTTGTTTTACTGGGGAATGTTTTTCAGGAGCAGCATTTATGTTTGTGGTGAGTCTTGAACTCTGACCTTAACTGAGGTAAGTGAAGCCTGCAGTGATTTACATGTTGTTCTGGGTTCTTGTTAGTTTGCGACCGAAGAGAAAGACAGACTGGAGCCAGCAGTTGTAGAGTACTCAATACTTTTCTCTTATCTTTAGTTCAGTTCAGTACACAGCATGGCATATCAGGTCACAACTAGAAGAGGGAGAATCTCCCTCTCACCTGAACCACCTGGCTTTTAAAGGATTGGCTCCCACCAGGACTAATTAGAGGGGTGGAGACAATCACATTTTCAGAAAGAAAAACATTTGCACTAAACTATTCCTACAAAAAAAAATGTCTACACAGTTACAATTAACTCAAGCAAAACTAGAAACAAAAACAATCTGGGCCCAAACAAAATCCAAAATACATCCCTCCTCCCTGTCAGAAAATGGATTTTCCCAATGAGGCTGATTGGAAACACCAGGTCCTGGTCAGCACTGCTCATGGGTGCACTTCCATGGCAACACATAACCAGGTGACCTCAAAGAGATGAGAAGATGATTAAAACAAGTGAATAAATCAAACCACCTGCCAAAACAATACATCCACCCAAATAAACCAGAATATACAAGGCACACAAAAAACAGCACCTGTTAGGGAGGGGGTAAATCCCTCACAGTTCTTTTGTGACTTCCTACATTAATCTCTATTGAGTTCTTGGAGTAATTTTGGTTGGCCGCTCACTCCTGGGAAGATTTATGTTTGTTCCATGTTTTCTCCATTTTTGAATCTCAAAGATGCCAATAAGTTTGTCTTCATCTAATCTTGAATTTATTTAGAATTGGGAATGATGTGTTGCTTTTTGTGATATTTTCGCATCCTTTATGCTGTGAGACAAGTTTTATTTAGGTGTTTTCCTGATTCTACAGGTTTATTCTGATTTCTGAGTCTGGTTGTGGCTAGTGAAGCTGAACTCTTTAAGGGAGTTTTAACACATACTAGTACGGCAGACTCGGTTCGACTGGGGACCAAAATTGTAACATTTGCTACATTTTCAGCTGGTGTGGTTCTCATTCACACTGCAAACAATTCAAACCTTTAAAATAACCTGTTCACCTCCTCCCCTGTTATGATGCTACACCAAGAACTACTGAAGGAAAACAACATGAAAACTTCACAAGACATGAGAGCAACTTCCTTCTTCACAAGATGTAAACAAAACTGGGATTGTTGTAGGATTTCTCTTTTGTCTTTGGTAAAAGACCACGAGCCATTCCTCCTGCTAACGCTAGACTCTTGTTTTTGTTGTATTTGTCCAGAATGCCCTGTGCTTTAGTCCACTTCCTGCTTTTGGAGCAGTACCCGGTCCACATGCATCCACATATTCATTGGAACATCATCAGAGTTCACTTAAGTCGGACAGAGACCTGGGATTGTAGGCGGACAAGAGTTTGCTTTTTTGGTAAGCATCAGAGTTCAATGACGCATTCACACCTTTCCAAACAAACCGGACTTTCTAGACAAATCGGAATAAAGTTTGATGTGAATGCACCCAGAGAAACATGTGGTTCATCACAGTTAAGTCGTTGTTCAACAACAGGAGGTGACAGAGTATGCCTCTTTTTCAACAAGGCACCAGGTTGGTATGGATTGTTTTTTCCATGAACAAATCATTTGAAAACGTCACATTATTTGTACTGAAGTTATTTTGTCTGATATTAGAATGTGTATAATGATCTGAAACATAAAAGTGGCACCAAAGAAAGACAGAAGAAATGTGTAATGAGGACAAACACTTTTTTCCACAGCTCTGTACATAGATACAATCTCCTCTTTCCACTCTGGTTGGAAATGTCACAGTCCATCGGGCAAACCTCGAAGCGTAAAAGCAGAGACGTTGAGTGCAAGACGCGCTGTGAGTGAACACGGAGTGAAACTGAGTGAAAAGTTGTGCACTTCCAGAGCATGGATAATGCAAACATACAAATGCCTCTACCAAGCGCAGCGGCCAATTGTGTTTGTTTTGATTAAATTACTCTGAGCGTGAGTTACATCAATGACAAAAATGTGTTTGCCAAAAAAAGAAAAAAAAAGTAATGCCCTGAGGAGTAAACTACAAACATAATATCACACAAATAGATGCAGGAGATTCACATGGGCATGCAGAGTGTTTACAACAACAGCTTACCCGCCCAATGAGCACCGGCTCGGGCCCTCGGTACTCCTCGATCACAAAGAACTGGTTCCAGAGCCAGCTCCTGCGGCGGCGGGGGCTCCGGCCCCACTGAGGGTCCTCGACCCGTTCAGGCCCACCCTGACTCCTTCCAGGCTGAACCTCACCGACTCCGTTGACAGAGTACGCCTCTTCCTCTGAACTTGGTCCTGGATAGTGACCATCAATTACACCGCCATCACCCCCATTACTCAAACTGCTCCTTTTGCTACCAATCTCAGTCACTTCTGTTCTAAGTTTAGACATGAAGGATGTAGCAGAAGTTTCAGGGCGGCTCAGCGTGTCAATTTTGTCAGCCAGGTTGTTGCCACTTAGTTGGAAGGCCAGGCTTGGCATTGGTGTTTCGTCAGCCCCGGCATTATGGCCGTGTCTTCCCGGCTCTTTGATTCGCTCAAGCAAGACGTCTGCGGACTCCGGGTGAGGTAAGACTTGTTGCTCTTTGCTTGACGTTGCTCGCAAGTCCTCATCTTCCTCTGAAAGGCCAGTGGCCTGCGGGACGCCGCAGCCTTCCCCCCGACAGAGGAAGAGGAAGAGGAGCGCCACGTGCGGCGCCGCAGCGAGGCGTTCACGGATCATGACAGCTTTACTACAGTTGCTTCTTCCTGACTTCTCTGCCTCGCCTCTCCTCAGAGCACGCCGCCTTCATCTCGGAGATTTTCCTCGCACATTTCCATGCGGCGCACATGCTTGCCCAGGATCACCTAAGAGAGGAGACATAATTAGCGCAATGTGGAACATGTTCATTAATATGACTCGCAAGTGCTTCGAGACACACGGGAGGAGGAAAAAAAAGAGGCATAAAAGTTGACATCTTACTCATTATCTAACACAGGGTGGTGTGGAGAGAGAGGGGGGAGAGGGGTGGTATTTTAAGACAAATTTCTACATGAATGTTTCTCTGCTGTTTGTTGAGCAGCTTTGTTTGCTCATCTGAGCACTCTGCCAGCTGCAGTAAAAATAGCAGTGCTTTTCTTCTACAGAGTGGTGCAATAAGAACGTCTCCCCCCCCCACACTCTTACGAACAAGAAAAAAGGGGAAGAGCTACTTCGTGCTGTCGCAGGTGGATCTCGCTCTTGATCTCATCGGCAGACGAGAGAGATAAGTGTGAGGACTTTGAATTTTTCAATTAATTTAGAGCCCAAGGGCCCGGTGAAGAGGTGGAGCTCAGGTACTTTACTGCGCCTTGTCACACACAATTGCCTGGACAGGAATTGATTGATGCCGTCCCCAAAGACGGCCCCCCACATGCTACAATGCCCAATAGATGAAGAAGTTCCCCCTTCAGAGATTAATTAGGCTCATAAATAATATAATCGATGACTTGCTCTTATTTCCCAAAAGTTTAATGATCTCCGTTTCATTTGCATACGAGTCAGATACGAGCGGGCCATTGATCTGTGAAGTTTGATGCAGTGGAAGGTGTCAGTAACTAGACTCAGTTGAAAATGCATGATTGCACTTTCGCTCTCCCCCTACCCCATTTTGTCCCACGTGCATCCATCACTCTGCCTTACTTTTTCCCATGAACGGAATAATTCTGGCGTCTGCTTCCACCTTTGTGCACACATGGAAGCGTGTGCTATAATTTCCACAGAGCTGAAGCATATGAGTCATATATATACACATAGGCACGTTGTTTCCGCTGTTTTCTTTGCATGGCTGTGGTTCTTTTCTCTACAAAGTCAACATCAACTCTTCTTCACAGGATTGTATCATCAGTCACATCGTGGGTTTCTTTGTATTTTTTCAGTTTGATGTGCTGCGATATTCAGGAGTAATTTTGGATGGCCACACTCTCCGGGGATGCTTCGTCTGGTTAATCTCTTGAATTTCTTGAGAATGGGACATGATCTGTTACTTTTGGCGTCACTTGATGCTGTAAAACAGAATCACTTCCAGGGCTGTCAGAAATATCTTCGCAACCCAATCCAGGCTGTTCGTTTATCATGTGTGGTTAAATATTTTAGCTCCGGTGTGATATCGAGCTTTTTCAGCATACTTCATGCCGCCAGACAGGTCCTATTCTTTCAATTAATGACTTTCTTGACTTTCCAGACCTCAGGCTGAAAGGTGTGACTATATAGTGAAATTGAACCAAGCACTTCATAAAAGTAGAATATTTATAAGTTAATTCAAGATTTAAAGGGTGGGAAGTACTTTATGTAGGGCCAGGTTGCTTTTATTGCTTTATCTCTTTCACGAATGGTTAATCATTTGAAAGACCGGCTTTTGTATTCATTCAGGTTATTCCTGTTGACTATAACATGACAAATACTTTCCTACAACACGGCAGCAACAAAGACTGACATAGGACAAAACATAGTTCCTCTCATGCCCAGATAAGCATGTGCTTTGATCCACTTAAAGGCCGAGCGTCCCTATCCTGCACGAGTGCAGCAGCCTTTGATAGTACAGCATAATGAGAACCATAACACGGTCCGATTTATCCACACTGATATTCTCCAAACTAAATGAAGGACACGTAGAAATGAAACGTGCTTTTTTTTCCTCCCTTTCTCCAGATACTGACCCACTTGAAACAAGTAGATATTTGATCATGAGGCATATAAAGTAATTTCTGCCCTTCTTGCTTTGAATTCTCTCTAAAGGAAACCCACCTACCAGTTCCCCTCTTTTTTTTGCACATCTCATTTCATTACGCGCACCAATTACACAAGCCGTCCATATGTAATGCCTGATGTTCTACATCTGTTTGCCAGCATCTTTAAAAAAAAAAAAATTAAATAAATAAAAATCGCTGAAAAATCCAAGTGACTCCTCCAAAATACTTTTGTCTTCCCCAGCTATTGTGCATTAGCAGAGACTGAGCTCGCGGCGTACGTTCCTCTCTGCCAGCTTTACTCCAAAGCCCACGTTGCCAGCAGTACATGTCATTCAACGTTGTTTGAAGTCTTTAGAGATGTGTGTGTGTGTCTAGTGTAAGGCAAGGAAAGAGGATGAAAGCGCGAGGACGATTTGCTGTTGCTGGCTTGGAATGGAATGATGAGTGGTGACATAGCTCCAAATTGCAAATCGCTGTTTCAGTCTCACTTCCACTCTGCATTGAGTCGCTTCACTGCAACAAGGCTATTTCATTTTTATTAAAAATAGCCTGTGCATGTCAGGCCTTTTACATGGGGGGGGGGAGATAAAGGGGGAAATGGGAGGCATGGAGGGAGCAAAGGAGGTGAGTGGTGGTGAAAGTACTTTGGAATGGGGGTAGGAGTGTGTTGGGGGGCTCAGGCTCTGCTCCATTTGCACATCGCCTGCTCTTTTTTTATTTATTTATTTATCTTTCCTCCAGCCTCTACCATTCGTCTTAATGCCCTCAGTCCTCTCATCCATCCCCACAGTCTCTTCCCTCCTCAGTGCACATGGGCAAATCTCTTAAGTCCATCCAAATCGGACGGGTGAAGAGAGCCACACTGTACTCAGCACATCAGTCTCCTCATTATTGTCAAGGTTTGACACTCAGACAGCTTAAGTGATACAACAGCAAACTCATTGTGCTGACGAAGTGTTCAGTCGTGTACTTTATTTGTCAAATAAAACCGCCTCCACCCCTAAAAGGATGATATACCTACAGCGCTTTGCACTTGATCCCCGACCATTAGAACCGCAAACTTCAATGTATTTTATTGGGTTTCTCATGTGATAAATCAATTCAACGCAGTAGTAGGGAGTACATTTGGGGTGGAAGGAAAATTATAAATGGCTTTTTTCTCTCTCTCTCCCTCTCTCTTTTTTTACAAATAAAAAATATAAAAAGTGTAATTTCATTTTTTGTGTGTGTTTTCACCTTCCCTTCAGTCTGACGCCCCTACATAAAATCCAGCTCAATCAACTGAGTTCAGAAGTACCTAATTAGTAAATCGTCCAACTGTGTGTAGAATAAATCTAGCTGTTCTCTGAAAGCCTCAGAGGTTTTGTTAGTGAACACAAGTACAAAGAAACTACAACCTGAAGAACAAGGAACGAAGCAGACAAATCAGGGAGAATTTTAAAGCAATGCTTTGTTCTAAGTAAACACGGAGCTTTGAACGTCTTGCGGAGCGTTGATCAATCCATCGTCCAGGAGTGGAAAAGAGTATGACGCAACTGCAACCCTACCAGGACAAGGCTGTCCACTTAAACCAGCAAGCCGGGATAGGAGAGCGTCAATCAGAGGAGCAGCCAAGAGGCCTGTCACAACTCAAGAGGTGCGCCAACTCAGTCGACGCGACGACTATTTGTACAACTCTCAAATCCAGTTTTTATGGAGGAGTGGGAAGAAGAACTCCATAGCTTGAAGAAAAACATTTGCAGTTCGCAAAGAAGCTGTAGGGAGCTCATCAGAGTAAGGGGCTCTGCTCATATTAGACTAAAATTTACCTTTTTGACCTACAAGCAAAGTAGTATGTATGGAGGAAAGTTAACTCTGGAGCTTTAGAGCAACGTCCTTATAGTGAAGCATGGCGGTGGCAGCATCATGTTACGGGCATGCTTTTCTTCAGCAGGAGAACAAACAGTTGGTAGGAGGTTCACCTTCATGTGTGAGATTAACTAAATATTTCAGTAATAGATTATCCTGATGATAAATCAGATAATTATCACATTCTGCAGTTTTCATTTGACCACTTAAGTCTTTTCTAATACAATATTGGAAATACAATGAAACATGCAAACAAGCAATTTTACTATTTTTTTAAAACAATACAATAAACATTTTACAGCATGTAGATAAATAACACAGCATTCCTTTGTTTACACTTGACTGTTTATAGCAAAGGATCCATATGCAGTCAAAAATAATAATCATTGTAACCCTTTCTGCTTGAGTTGACATCAATATAGTGTCAGGCTGATCTGTCGGTTATTTTTTCAATTAAATGATTAATAATTGGACAGCCAAAGGTGCTTAATAGAAGATTTGTTTTGCAGAATTTTAACCAGGTGAAGCTAAAGCTAAGTCTCTTGAGGACCTCTGGGTAGAACATATTTACAGACAAAAAAGGTTTCATCTTGAGTGCAAAATGTGAATATTCTGGTTCAGTTTGGGCTTAATTACTGCTCTTTCATCAGATGGCCTTTTTAGAGACTGCATACACCTGTTATTGGTTAATCGATTACTAAATTAGTTGATTAATCGTTTCAGACCTATGCAAGAATGGAAAAGTCAATGTCCAGATGTACGATTTGACAACATATATAGATGCTATCTGTCCAATCTGACTGCTATTGAACCATTTTGAAGTATCTATATGAAGGATGAGAGAGACAAAACCCAGACGGCCTACACCAACAATTGCAGCAATAGGTGGTTCTGTAAGCATTGAGGGGGGTCAGAATACGTCTTCTGCATCCCACACTTTTCAGATTTTTATTTGAAGAAAATGTTTAAGCATATTTATGATTCCAACTGCTTTGCACTTAGGTACCATTTTGAGTTGATCTAGCACATAAAATCCCAACAGAATTCATAAAAGTTTGTCGTCATAATGTGGCAAAATTTGGAAAAGTTAAGGGTTTTTTTTTATAAACAGTAAAACAAAGGCCATTAAATGTCCTACAGCACACGATGCCTCACTGCAGCCTCTCTTTGCTCTGGGTTACACACCAAAGCCCCCTGACACACACACGCGCACACACACGCGCGCGCACGAAAACAAACACGCAGTCACTTGTGAACCATTATTAGCATCGTGATACAATAAACAGCCCCCGGAGCGCGACCTTGTCTTGTTAGAGCAAACCGGGAAAATGACCTACTTGATGCATGTTAATGTGATTAAACACACTTGGGCTAACTATTATAATGAACGCGACGTCCTAAAAATACAGCTGTCAGCAAATAGCCGGCGTCCACGCGCTCACTGAGCCAGCAGCAGCGTTTTTTGGAGGAAAGTGAGCGTCTCCGCACGCGGCAGGTGAGAGTACCGCGCGTGCACGGCGGGCAAGCTCGCGCGCTTACATACACACAAACATTGCCAATGAATAAATAAATGAATGATGAAATCGAGCCGTCTGTCAGACGCTGGCGCTCAGCTCACTGAACCAAAAATAATAGTTTGCGTCCTCTCAACAATCCCTCACCCAGCCGACTGAAATTTCACCTAAACAGTTCGCACATGTTCGTGGAAACAAACGCTGCATCTGTGCTCCAATTCAAACTGACAGTCAAACACTTGTAAACCGCCTCTTGGTTTAGATAGGAGCCCCCGCAGATAAAACAAGCGAGCGTTAAACTAGACGAGCGACTGCTGGAAACTTGCCACATCACTGTGAGGATTTCTTTTTTTCTTTCTTTTTTTTTTTTAAAGAAGTGATTCATTTGGGTAAGGGAGAGCTTACCGTGTGTTCCGCGGCGGAGTTCCTGCGGTTTAACGCAGCTGAAATGAGTCCAGCGAGGGGGGGGCGGGAATGATGCTGAGGTTCATGCGAGCTCAACGTGAAGTCTGTCCACTTAGCCCAGTCTCCCTCACGCTCCGTCTATCCCTCGCTTCCTCCCTCGCTGTGCGTTTCTACCCCTTTCTCTCTTCCCCGCTCTCCATTAGTTTGTAACTGCCACAGAAAAAGACCCGTAGTTACACTAAAAGCCTTCTATTTTTGACAGATGTGACCAATGAATAACACAGACAGGATAAACTGTCTCTCGTCACCCATAAATATCCGTTTTAATTGGTTGCAGGTTTCATTTTGTTTTTATCCCATAACACTAATAAGGTCTTCATCACCATAACCTGTTTGTGAATCAGATATATAAGGCAGCCCTGAGGATCTTGTCCTCAAAGTTGATCTGATAGCTGGAGGGAAAATGGGCTAGCAGAAGGATTTGAGTGAGTCAGACAATGTCTAAATTGTGACAGACATCCTGGCCAGACCACCAGCCAAAACTCTTGTGGGATGTTCCTGCTCCGCAGCAGTCAGGGTCCATCAAAAGCGACTTGAGGAAGCCTGACCCGGATTAGCTTCTGTTCCGTTGTTCAAATTGCTGGGAAAGAAGCTGGTTCTCATAGAAAAGTGTCAGAACGGAGAGTGGCTATTGTATTTTGACAGACCTGTCAGGATGTCACTGCTAACCATTGGACCATCAGCAATGGAAGAAGTTTTTCTTCTGCTTTTACCTGCCAAACACATGGCACCAGGATACACACTATGAGGAAAAAGGCAAGCTGGCAGAGGCAATGTTTGGGAAACACCGTGTCTGTCCTTCCCTTTGCTTCAACGCATATCATCAAAGCATTGCTGGCATCTGCGTGCACCCTCTCAAGGAATAGTATTCCCTGAATTTCATAGGTCCTTTCAGAAGGAAAATGTTTCCTGCAGCAAAAATACATTTATGGAATGGTTTAAGGAGGACAACAATGAGGATGTGTTGTCAACTTGCCCTCCAGATTTCCCAGATTTCAAACCAATTGATCTTCGGTTAACCGGCACGGTTAACCAGTGCGATTCCTAAAGATCCCAACTCACAAGTTATGGGACTTCATGGATTTGCTGATACCTTCAAGAAGTTTCTGCAAGAGTCCAAGCAACAAGTGTTCAAGGCACTCTTTTTTTTGGCAACAAAAGTGGGAGTGGGAGCAGGGAGCCATTTGGCCTGATTAGTGTATGTTTTCTGTAATGTTCTTCTGTGTCTTATAGTCCACTAGAGCACAACCCATGCACAAAATCATAATCAGAAACTTTGCACTTCTCCTATTTCTACCCCTCTCCAGCGTCGCCAGAAAATTGGCACTTAGTTCTACATTTAAAGGCACCATACGACAAACAGCTTTCTGAATTTGCTTAAAAGATGTCATCTGGTTGACTCTAATTATCCCCCTTGTCAAGCTTTTGTGCTGCATCCTATTTTAGGAGTGGACACTTCAGTATCGCCATGACTCAGGAACAGATGGAAGATTGTCAGCACAATTGGCTGTATATTCTTGTGGCAATAATATCTGGTGCCCACACCGATTTATTTAATCTAAATGATTCATTTAGTTAATCTTAGCACAGACACACAACAACTGCAAAGATAAAGTATACCCTCTTTCAGATTTAAAGGTATAAACTTGATCTTTACCAGATTCAAAAAATTATCAAGCTATCAAACTTATCAAAATTGTCCAAAAGATACTACCATGTCATTATTTATGAAGTAAACATTTGAAACCCAATCTGTAAAAAGCTAAGTACACGCCAGTACCCTGTAGACACACATTTAGCTGTTATAACTTGAAGTAGCCGTTTCCTCAAGGGCTATTTGTTCCTACATTAATTTGAGGATTTTTGGGTCACTCTATTGCAACATAGCTTCGGTTAATTGAAGGTGTCAGCCTATTTGTGCATGTCTCCCTTGCAGTATAATCCAACCACAGCCTTTCAGTGGGATTGAGGCCAGGACTGAGTCAAATACATCTTCATCATTTTTGTTGTCACCTTTGTACACCCCGGCCTTGGTGTGAATTTCACGGTTTTCAGCTGTGAATAATCTCACTGTAGAAAACTGGGATTGCAGGAGAATGACCTTTTTAACCCTTCCCAGATTTATGGGCAGCAACCGTTGCTTCTCTAAATTCATAGCCGACACCTTTCCTTCTGGGCGCTGTGTTAAACCACACCTGTATGCTTTTAATCGCACTTGATGATTATCAGCTTTTCAATTGCATTTCATCTGCAGCTTGTGTATATTGGATTGCTTCATGTTTAATCAATAATGAAATATTTGTGTTTTTATCATGAAGAAACACTTGGGTACCATTGAAAAGGTCTCGGAGCAAGACTACTTAAGAATGCTGTACCTTTAGAAAGTGCAGTCTCGACCAGTCAAGATTGATTGAGTCATTGCAGTAAGTGGGAAACTAGAGATCCTCAAAGGAAGTTACAAAGAGATAGCATAACCCTAAGGGCACTTGTCAGATCTCTTGTACCCAGCAGTGTGCAGAGGTTTATTAATGCCAAGTACAGAGCAGGCACAAAGTGAAGTCAAGGAGCAGTAGGAAGGGTTTGAGAGTGGACTGTGCAAAACATGTTCAGAGCTCATCCCTCCGTTTTTGTTGGAAGACTTCTGCTGCTCATTTGATTTTTAAACCTAAGTGTTCTTTTTCTCAGTCTTTAAATGAGTCTTTCCCTACCAGCTTTCAAGTCTGAACCATCCGTTTTGTTGCTATGCCTTCCAAAAGTATCCGTACCCCTTGAGCTTTTTCCTATTTTGCTCTATTATGCTCTACGGATCGCATTAAGGCTCTCTGAGTCGTAACATTCTCAGTGTTGACTGGATGTAAAGTGTCTGCGAACATCAGATTTCAAATCATCATTCAGACTGAGGTTTAGCTGTTCACAGGTGGCTGTCGTCCCCAACCCTGCCAGAATCACGTGTCCACTCTAGATTAACCTAAATCTCTTTATTTGATTTTCTTTTATATTTCTGTAAATAAATTAACTGCTCCGTCTTGGCTTCAGATGGCATTTGTTGCGAATTGGAGCTAAATGAACTAAAATCTTTCTTGTTCCCCACTCTGTGTTACAGTTTGGATGATATTGTCAGGGTATTTAGCAGTGTGTGCTTTCTGACACATGCTGTATATTATACTTTGGATGCAGGCCAAAACGTGGCATATGGGTCTCATCTGACCAGAGCACCTTCTTTCACTTTTGCTGCATCCCCCTGGAAAATCGCAAACAAGACTTCTTAAGGTTTTTTCTCAAAAAAGGCCAAATTTTGTGCAGTACAGAATGAATAGTTGCTGAGGTTTGTGCTTGTAATGTGACAAAATGTGAAACATTCAAGGGGGGGATGCTGTTGCAAGTCACTGTGTTTCTTTTTTTTTGTTTTTTTTTTTGTTTTTTGTTTTTGCTTGTGCTCAATAATCCCTCTATTATTGGTCTTCCAATGGTGGTTATCATAGATCAGATTGGTGAATAATGCTTCTCCTCCTCACTCTCACAGACGCAGTCGATCAGACATTGGTTGGAGAGGACATCTCTGCTCATGCTGCTGTCAGGCATCCTTGCGTGTGATTTATTTTGCACTGTTAATAGCATATAGACACGCTGACTGCACACATATGGATGTGTTCACCATTTAAATTTTTGTCACACACAATAAATCAAAACACTTATGAATTAGCTCATCACAGCTTCATGGGAAAACAGATTTCCAAGCAACGCTTGCCCAGGTGCCATAAAACACCTCCCATGTGGGAACCTCTAGGCAAGTGTTTTCACTAGAAATTCAAGAAGGTGTGGTTTCACGATAGGATTAACCACACAATTTCTTTCACCGCGTCTTTCCGCAGAGTCATTGTCATTTGAATAATAACTTGTATTTATGAGCGCGGCGCTCACACAAAACGAACAGGCAAGTTCAGCCAAATCTCATTTATTCATTAATTTATTGACGCGTCAACGAAAATTCAGAAGTGTTTCGACAGTAGGCACAAATCAGTTTTCAGCTGCTGCTCTTTTATTGCTGGAGTTAATGTGTTTCCCCACACACAACAATACATCACGAGCCTCAACTTGAGGTCCTCACACTACTCATTGTCTGCTTCTCTCTCTTGTTTATGTGATTAAAGCCCATTAAGAGGTAGGTGGTAATTATCCCAGATGAAATGATTTATAATCCTTTAACATCTACATCAAAATGGCAGCCAGCAGCGCTCAACGCTGTAAGAGCACTTTTTATCATCACTGCAAACAAAACATCAGCTGTTTATTAAATGGAATGATATGCATGCCCAAATCTTCGGAGAGATAGCCTGGAGGATGCAACTGCCTGTCTTGTTCATTAATTTAGTATTTGCTCCAAAGATACAGCCCGGTGTTTGCTTTTCTTTTTCCACTGATGTTTCCTTTTGTTTGTTTCTCGTCTTTACCCTGACAAAGCCGTGCCTCGTGTCTCTCGCTCAAGTCTTCGTTTCTCTTTTTCTCTGTAATACTCCTCTTTCAAGTCCTCGCGCGTCCTACGAGTCCATCCTTTTGAGGTGACGTGATAGACGTCCACAAAGTTCCCAGAGTACGCATCCCTGTGGGTGGCCCTGTACACAGCTTCCCTTGCTATTGATGTGGCCTCCTCCACGGTCAGGCCCCACCGAACCCCTTGGTCTAAGATAGAGTACGCGTAGGGTGATCCTGAGCCCACAGAAAAGAGCGATCCCTCCAGGCGAGTGCCATCGCTGCATACATAAAACAGACTGGGACCAGAGAAACTTATTTTTCTCCTGGAACACTGCTGCTTTGTGAAAGAAGAGCTTTGAGTCTTGGAAACAGAGACCTTTTCACCAGGGGCACCCGCAGTCTTTTCCAGGTGAGCCTTTGTAGTCTTTGTAGTCTCTCTGCTTTCACCATGAGCCGTCTCTGAGCCTCCATGGTCACAACATCCATCATCCGGGTCTCCTCCATCCCACCCACACAGCGTGGCAGCCACGCAGAGCTCGGTTCCCTTGAAAGGGTGCAGCATGTGTGAAAGCAGCTTGGCAGCCCCCCTCGTGGACAAACGCCGTCCGTAGCGAAGCTGGTAGAGGCGCAGCTCTCTGGAGAGGATCCGTTTCCAAAGTGCGCAGTCGGCCGAGGTTCCCGAAGTGGTGCCCACCAGGTGGCTGTGAATGGGCAGGATCTTCTGGGAGGCCGGGCACGCCACGAGGCCCGAGCAGCTGGAACGAGTGTCTGCCGCAGCCAGGACGCCACCCTGGAACATGAAAGCTAGGGTGGTGGTCCCATGAGCCATGGGGAAGGGAAGCGGCACGGCTTGAGAGGAAGTGAAAGGAAGACTTTCAGGCAAAGAGGACGGTATTGGGAGCATTTCTGGAGATGGGATTCCACTTGAGCTCTGCATTGTGCTGATTTGCCCAAACTGTATCGGGCTTTCATCCAGATAACCTGCTTCTGGAATATAAAAATGGAATAGGCTTGTGCTATTGCTCAAGGCCACACCAGTTGCATAGCTACAAGATTTCCTTTTTCCACTTGCCGTTACATTTCTCGCAGTGCCTACACTTTCCTGAAAGATATCTCCAAAATTGCACAGGTCCTGCAAAGCCATTGAATAAAAACTTTAAAAGTTTTGAATGCCTTGAAAATGCTCTTCTAAAATAACTTGCAAGAGCTTTGAAGCCCTCAGTCAAATGTCAGCCGTCTAATGGAGACTGTACATCTGAAGCCCGCGGCGATGCTTGCAGTAATCATCGTTTATATAGACAAGAAGGTCGGGCTCATGTTTCTGTGTGGTCACTCAAACAACCCATCCGCATCATTACCAATGTTTCATTCTCTTTGAAACACATAAAGTCAATAGCCCATGGGTAATTAATTTTGGCTGTGATATCAGGTTGTTTTTCACATCAGATTGCTTCAAAGTCTTGTGTGGGCGTAGGCCAGAGAGAGTGTGGGGTGATGTTGAAGCCTTGGCTCGAGCACTCTAAATTAACTCTGACTCTTTGATGCAGCAGTCCTACGGATCAAATCCCTGTTAGAATAACACATGATGTCAATGCGAAGCTTCACAGCAGCGCTGCACAGACGAGCCCTTTCCAGCACGCCACTTTCTCTTTGTAGGTGATTCACACTGAACCTTGAACCTGCCACACCAGAATATCAGGTAGCGCCGCATTTTGCAGGGCGTGTGCTCGCACAACTGCTGTTTGTCCGAGACGTAACCGGCAGGTGTCGGATAGCCAGAGGAAGCTACTTTTGCTTATTAGAGAAACAATGAACCGAAAGTTTAAATATTTATTTTCATGTCCCACTTTGCTCTAATCCCTTTTCACAATGACTTGGTTTCACATCAGCGTTTCTGGATTTGCCTTCACTGCTTGTTTCCTTTTGGTAAGCAACTTTGTCTCACTTTACCTCCTGGACGTTAGCTGCTGAATATGAAACTATAATTAGATTTGATCAGTTTCTTCACAAACATGTTATATTATTTAAAGCATCTTTAACAGAACAGTTCATTTTAATAATATTACATTCAGTCATGAGTAAACACACAGGTGAAAGTGACTAGATAATAGGTTCACCTTACATTCACCTAAATGTGTCGGTATTCCTAAATTTAAATGTTTCCTGTGACTTTAAAAAAAAAGTTTTTTTAACGTAACTCTTAATTTGTTTTGACCTCATTACATGTTGGTTTACTGTCACTCTGTCCACAGTGTTGTTCTACACTACAGGAAGCTGCTGTCAGAGCCCAGCTGAATATCACTACCTTCCTAAAATAATGGCCAAAGTCATTTTTTGTCAAAAGCGACTTCTTTTTTTGGTGCCTAAAACATATTTTTGAAATAAAGAGGTGGTGATTTTCTTGCCAAAGTCAATTTTGGCTAAAAATAACTTAGGCCATTATTTTATCAAAGTGATGACTAGTCGATATCTGATCAACTTAGTTTGCAGGATTAATTTGTCTAATTTTTGCTCAACGTCTGTTTTCATCTTAGGTAGATGTGAATCTGTATGAAAATACAATGCTGTTTTTGAGCACATATATTTGGTGAAGAAATAAAATCCTTCCTCCTGCAGGAGGAAGCTGGAATACCCAGAGAAACCAAGCATGTGTGATGAAAGATTGGTTTTGGACTGGTTAATGATTTCTGTCGATTTGGCCATATTTTTTTTTATATTTGTTTAAAAAAAAAAGATGTAATGATGACCTATTCTGAGTTTACTAGTGGAGATTTCCAAAGTCTCCTGGTGAGTTCACGATGCCATGACCTTTAATAATGTTTCCTGAGCCTTTAGAAGAGAGAGAAGTATGTTTATGTTGGAAAGAACAGACTAAAACAGCTTTAAAATAATCCTTAATCAAGAATGATCAAGATTATATCAAATGGTTGTCATGGAAACTTGGTCAACACAAGATGCCACTCTTTGCTTTGGTTCTTCAGAAAGACGCAAAGATTTAATTTGTTATAGTTATGCGTCACAGAAAACAGTCATTTATATTTCGCTGTTAATGGTTGCATTATTTATGCAACTTGTGTTGCTAAAATCAAACTCTTCTCAACATGCTGCAGTAAATTCTGAATTTATTTGAAGGTTTTTTTGTTGCAGATGCTTATCAAGGGAGCCAATTGATCTGTCCAAGCCTATAACAGACTTAAACTGATATGAACTGTGACATGATACAAACTTAAAGTTGTGGTTAAAAGTCTTCATAGTGTTTATGTTCTTGTTCTTGATTTTGTTTGTGGACAGCTAGAGTAAGCAAGGAAAGTCGTAGCAAAACAGGCCGATCTTTAAAGTTGAAGAATATGTCTAGGGTTGAAACAATTAATTGGATTAATCGATAATTGACATAATAATAAAAACTAATTTTGTAATTGACTGTTTAGGGAGTGTACAGACTCAAAGAAAGGCCATTTTCTGAAAGAACAACATAGTTGGCAGTAATTGAGCCAAAACTGTGCAAAATATGAATTTTGCATACAAGACAAAAACATAACTGGCAAAACTTCGCTCGGTTCAAATTCTGTTTAAAAAAAGATTTTCTGGAAAAATCTGGTAAGATCCTTCATCACACCTGCTCAGAAATGCCACAATGATGGAAATCCTCCTACGCATTGGAGAAATGTAGAAATCAAAACGCAAACCATTATCATGTCTTCTGGGACAGCTCAATTATAAAAGATTACTGGAAAGAGATAAATAGAGCCTTGCAAGGTATTTCCAAGCAGAACATTCCTTTGGAGATCAAACATGTATTTTTTTGGCATAATTCCTCAAGAAGCTTCAAAAAGAAACAAATATCTGATGACTATTTTATTAATAGCAAGTAAGAAAAACATTACAGGAAAATGGTTATCACAGGACAAACCAACCTTAGACAACTGGATCGACGTAACATTTAACATATAAAATGGAAAAAATAACAGCCTCTGTCAATCCTGTCAGTGCTGGCAGATTTGGGCAGACTATGTAAAACTTACAAGATCTGATTTCATTTTTAGAGACCAAACCTGATGAAATCTCCTCGATAATCCACTCTCCTATAACAGACACACTTCATAATTATTTAATACTATGTTTTTCGTTGGTGTATTTTTTTTTGTGGTTTGCTTTTTACATTTTTAACTTCTTTGTTCTTTTGTTTCTTCTTCCACACTCTCTTTTACTCCCTGCATTATTAATCTTTCTCAGGAAACTGAAATTGCATTTTTATTTTGACTGTTATGATGTAATGGTCTACTTGTCCACCGTATTTCAAATACTGAAGTTAGTGTTGTGATGTAGAGTCCTAAGGTCATGGAAATGATACTTCCTTGAGAATCAATACAGATAAAATAAAATAAAAAAAAGATTTCCTATTAAACACCTTTTGCTATCCAAGTATTAATCGGTCAACTCAAAAACCAACAGGTAACTTTGTGGAAGTTAAGTCAAGCAGAAAGGATCTTTTCACATCCTGATGGAGAAAGTATTTTTTACGCTTCAGATGAATCCTTTGGTACAAATTATGATGCACAAACTAAAAAAATTTTTTATTGCATTTTAGGCAATAAAATGTTTAAATTCTTAAAGTGTATAAAAAAATACTTAAGTGGTTAAATAAGGAGGAATATGGCCATATTTTTATCCAATTAATCGACTGTCAGAATAATCGATTGCTGAAATAATCATTAGATGTACAGAAGTCTGGAAATGGATCCAGATCTTGTCAAATCTGTCACGTTGACTCAGAATACAGCAACAGATGGTCCAGTATGTAGTTTGTCCTCTTTCTTAAAGTGGAATAACTTAAAAACAGCATTTTTTTCCCTTTGTATAACACTGATTTAATTTTTTTCCCTCTCTTCACCCAGGCAGCGTCTGTGCTACGAGGCGTTTCCACCCACAGGGACGAAGCCGCACCTGACAGTTTCATAGGGTTCGACTCGGTCCCTGACAAAGTGGCAGATGGCTCAGTGGTCCGTGTGCGGTATCAGTGCTCCAGGCCGTGTCAGCTCGCGGTGGAAGTCGTGCTGTCAACATTAAGGAAGACGGATCTGGTGGTCTTCAGGAGAAAATGGATCAGCAGCACACCTCAAACGCTCCGGGTCCAGCAGGTGTTGCTCAGATTGCCTCCGTCCGTGTCCCATCACCACCGCCGCCGTTTCCACGGGAGCGCAGCAGACACCCAGAACGTGACACTTCAAGCTTGGTTGGATTATTTGACAAAAGGCAGTGAAATCGGCTCCGTGGCGGGAATTCATAAAGTGCAGCGGGTTGTGCGGCTCTCGCTGTGGCCGGGGACGGCCCCCGCTGGGTGCCCGTCATGGTCTGCTCAACTCGCGGCGTGGCTGACGTCCAACGACAGGATCCATCAGTGCCCACATGAGTCAGGTGACACCCTTAATCACTCTGTCGTTTTCTCTCAATACGTTACCGGTACAATGGGGAAAGCAGGCACTGAGCACGTTAACATTGTTCTGAGCAGCAATGTTTTACAGTGAAGCTACTGAAGCTCACAGCAGATGCTAACAGTTTTTATTACTACTCATCACTTTTACAAATTTAGAGCACACTTAGAAAGTCCAGAGCTTACTTACTTATACTTATCCATCAACCCAGAACAGGGATTAGAACAAATTTAGAATCCAGAAAAACGACCTTAGCAAAGTTTATGTTTTAGACTCCTAATCTTCCAACCCAGAAGTGGCGTTAGACCAGAGGATACTCATCAACCCTGAACAGGAGCACCTAGCTTACATACTTTAGATCAACATTAGATTCTTTTCCTCCTTTTGCTCTTTCCTTTGGTTTGTTATTCTGTTTGTATTTCCTTTTAATTCCTGTAAAGCACTTTGTATTGCCTTGTTGCTGAAAATGTGCTATATAAATAAAATTACCTTTACCTAACAAATAATCCACTCATACCAAGATGTCTACACTGGACGTTTTTAGATCTGAGCACGAAGTAGCATTTTGAGGGCTTTTAACCTACTCTGTGATGTCAACAGGGTTTATTTAAATGTTTTTACAGGCCAAGCAGCAATTAGGCTGCTAAGTAAAGTGAAGACGGACTAGAAAATGACAAGATTTAGCAAAGCAGGCATTTTCAATTAGGGTGAGGTTCGTTTGGATAGTTTTTCCTTCAATAAATGTTCTGCATTTAAAATTAAAATGTTGAAACATTTAAGTGTGATGGAAAAAAAAGTAGAAGAAAATTAGCAATGGAAGAAATGA